CCCCAGTGAATACTTTTCATCTTGTCTAGACAGGTCTGGTGAAAGGAGATGGGGATAAGATTCTTATGATTCAATAGTAATTGTTATCATGACTGATTACAATTATTACAATTATAAAAGTAGAAGTTTTGTAACATAAAGGGGGGACTAGTTAATCTTACATTCAGGAACACAGGATCCTAGGACCATCAAGAAAGAAGAGCATGAGAGGAATGTGGGACCCTAACCAGAGAAGAAACACCAGAGATGGAGGCAGAGGTGATGGCATGGAGAGAGAAAGGCTGTGTACTGGTGGGCAGAGTCAGGCTTGCAGAATGTGCCGTTTGGTTGTTTAAATGATTATTTATTCCTGAGTGTTTTTGTGTACATCAAAAAAGAAGCCAGAGGGAATAGAGCAAATACTGTTGAATGATGATGCATGAAGGGGATTGTAATCATTGCAGTGAAATGAAATACGATAGGACGAGTGCTGCTAATGTCAGAACCTTCCCTTTTTGGAAAACCACCCAGCAGATAAAAGGACACTATTGTCCCTTGTTTTATCACAAGCCCTGTGACAACCTCCCCTGCCCAGACTGTGACCCTAGACTAACTGAAGTGAGAAACATGAATTCTACAGCTATGTGGAATACAACAGAGAAGGATTTGTACAGTACATTATTAAATGATGGTGTGGAGCAGTATGCCTCACCTGCTAGTGAAACTGGGGACAAAATTGGAAAGGTGACTCAAATCCAAAAGGGATCATCAGGATGTACTGATTTAATCAAGGGCAGTACTCATACCATTTGGGATTTTCCTAAGGAAACTTTAGCCAGAAATGAGTTGACTTTATTATCAACAGTTTTGACCTGTCAGTACTAAACCAATGTTCTCAAAAGAGGATGTCTTCGCTTTCTCTGACACAGGCAGAGGTAAGGGGCAATCAGCATAGAGGGCTGGAAAGATTAGAGAACTAGGAATTAAACTAAGAATTCAGAGGGCAGGACTTGACATTTTAAACCAATGCGGGAGAAAGATAAGACTTTCTGTTCCCATAAAGATTTATAGCCTCGGAAACCCTGTACAGAGTCGCTATGAGTTGGAACTGATTCCATGGCACATAACAACAAGCTGTTATGAAATGTTTAAAATTTGGATCTAAGGATCTCTCACATTAATTAAATTCTTTAGATGTTCTGCCTATATACGTTGTAACGTGGGTAAAAAGGAGTCCAGCAAAGTAGAAGATGACTGATGACGATGAAAGTAGGGCTAAAAAAATCTCCCATCTTTAAATGCTGTTAAGTGCCATCAAGTTGATTTCAACTCATAGCAACCCTGTATAAGGTTTCTGAGGAGTGACTGGTGGGTTCTGAACCACTGACCTTGCAGTCCAGTGCTTATATGATAGTGTCACACCAGGCATGTAAAGAAGTGCTTAAAGTAATTGTACAGGAGAGCTGTCTTATTGAAAAGCCATTACTACTTATTTGCACTCAATGAAGAATGTACTGGACGTGGAGGAGGGTAGAAGAACAAGGAAGACAGGAAAACACTTAGGTAGGTTTGCATGGAATAACTAGGACTAAGGTAAATGCTCAACCTTGGAACAACAGGGCTCTGTGATACAGAGATCCACGCATAGTATGAATGCGTAAAAGAAGGGAAATAATGTTAAAGTGCTTGACTTTCTTGTGAATATTGGTTTCTCTTGCCTACTATTGTAAAATAAACATTTAAGCAGGATAGAAAGGGTTATTGGGAAATATGATTACAGAAAGTCTGTAAGCCCGTCTTCAACCTATAACTGGTTGGAATACATAAAAGGGGTTCTAGAATTTGCCCAGTGAAATAGGCTTCTTGTTAAGCCTGTGTAGAGTATGTGGCCGTAGGTGGAATCCTGAGCCCCATCCAGAACCTTTGCAGTGGGACATTCCCACTTAAAAAGACATACAGACCAGCCCGGGTAGCTACAGGAACAGAAGATACTTCTCAAAAAAAACAAAAAACAGAAGGAGGGAAAAAAAAGTAGACTGTTTGGCAATTATAAGAACAAACAAGCTGCTGCCACTGGGAGCTAGAACTGAGAGTGAAGTGTCCAGCTGATATGAAGTAGGTGGAGATGTGCACGAATGCTCAAACTTACAAAATACCTGTTTGACCTAGGTTGGATGGCTTGATGATCAGAACTTGACTAAAGGAAGATAAATAAGTTTGATACAGGAAGCAAATGTAAATTGCTACATGTTGATGAACTTTACCTTTGCGGTTACGAATCGGGCTGCGAACCTTAAGGTCAGTGGTTCGAAACTACTAACTGCTCCATGGGAGAAAGATGAGGCTTTCGACTCCCGTAAAGATTTACACCCTCGGAAACCCTGTACAGGGTCGCTATGGGTCGGAACCGACTCTACAACACTTCACAACAATGGATGTAGTTGTTCAAAGTACTGAGAAGGAGTCTTCACATCAAGGATCAATCCTATCCCCCAGTACACAAGGTTGATAGGAATGGGCAACTTAGACATACCTAAAGTGGAGTCCTGGTCTGACACTGTGGGCTAATGTGGACTGCAAGGTCAGTCTGAACCGAAAGGTAAGCAGTTCAAACCCACCAGCTGCTCCTTGGAAATCCTATACAGAGTCATTATGTGGCAGAACCGACTCTACAGCACATATCAACAATAACCTAAAATGGGAAGATCTAGTGTGGCACTGTGGATTAATGCGCTGGACTGCAAAGTTATTTTGAACTGCAAGGTCAGCTGTTCAAACTCACCAGTAGTTCCTCGGAAACCCCATACGGGTTCACACTATGGATTGGAACCAACTCGATGGCACATAATAAAGGCACAAAGTGGCTGGCTTACAAGTTTTCAAAAGGGAGTTTAGTTCAGAGTGTGCGGGGGAAGGTAGAATCCCCAATGATACTTTTCGTCTTGCCTAAACAGGTCTGGTGATACGAGATGGGGGTAAGATTCTTATAATTCAATAGTGAATAATTGTTACCATGACTAATTGCGACTGTCACAACTGTAAAAGTAGAAGTTTTGTAACAGTAAGAGGGGAGCAGTTAATCTTACAGTCCAGGAACAGAGGACCCTAGGGCCATCAAGAGCACGAGTGGAATGTAGGACCTTATCTATAGAAGCAGCAACATCAGAGATAGAGGCAGAGATGAGGACATGGAGAGATAAGAGTAGCTAAGGACTATACACTCATGGAAAGAGAACGGCTGTGTGCTGGCAGCCAGGAGGCAGGCTTGCAGAATGTGTCCTTTGGTTGTTTATATGATTTTATATTCCTGGGTGTTTTTGTATACATCATAAGGGAAAAAAAAGGGACAAATACTGTTAACCGATGGTACATGGAAGGGATTGTAATCATTGTAATGAAACAAAATACGATTCAGTACAAAACTGATGTTCTGTTATGTAAACTTATCACTCAATTTATACAAAAAGCTTTAAAAAAGAAAGTACTGAAGATGCATTTTTCAGCAAGGGAGGAAGATGATCCCCCTGTAGAACCTACCAGCCTGATCCTATGACAAATGAGTTTACAGTCATCTCACCCTCAAAACCAGCTTGTGCAGGATATCCTTTTCATAATTCCAAGAACGCTGTATCAATGTCCTTCAAAGTAAAAAATGATACTTTATTATAATTTTTAAACTGCAGAACACCAGTCCGAATATTACACACACACACAAAATCACTAACATATGGAGTTGTCTTCCATATCGCCACAAAAGTTGGCCACAGAATAAAGCCTTAAGGGAATTTTCCAGTTCAATCCAACATACCAGCTTGAGACATACTGAAATACTGAAGTCTTTTGGCTTTATTCACAGTTGCAAAGTGCTGTTACGGGTAGATTATTTCTCATTTTTGCTGGATGAAGAACAGGTATGGAAAACAATGTTGCATGTGGAGTTCTGAGTTCCATTAAAATGTGAATCCAGGTCCCTTTTATTCTGCAGGCTTTGTTCTCGTTCCTTTTCAGCTGTTTGCTTCTTCTCTTTCTATAGGGCTTGACTTACATGCTACTACCAAAAATAAATCTATCCAGAATCACATTGGCTAGCAGTTGAAGTAAGCAAGTAGTAATGTTACATCTTACATCACTAGGTCTGCAACTGAGAAATCTGAACTTAGGGTACAGCTCAAAAGAAATCTTATTTCAAGGTAAATAAATTACTTGGCTGGCTGGTGACATACTTGATTCTTCCTAAAAAAAAAAAAAAATCTTAATTGCAATGTACACTTTTGTTTCATGCAAAAATTGTCCCAAGACAAAAATTGGGTAGCTTACATCTCCAAAATGATTCAGAGAGAAAAATTTTCTCTTTCTTTCCCTAGTATTGAGAAATTACTCCAGAACCTGGAAATTACATTATATGGCTTGGCTCACTTGGTGCTCAGGCAAAAACTGCCACAAAGCCTTGATGAACACCAACTATGGTGGCACTATAGGATAAGCAGCCCAAATTCACCACCACTTTGTGGGAGAAAAATGATGCTTTCTGATCACATAAAGACTGACTGCCTTAAAAATCCTACACAGGGTTGCTATGAGTCTGAATCCCTTGATGGCAGTGGGCCTGGTCTTGGGGAAGTAATTAATATGAGGGCTCCAAAATGGTGTCATGGAAGCCATCAACGAAAGCAAGGATGTAGAAGCTAGGACAAGCTGAGAGTCTGAGGATCACAATGCTAACAGACTAAGATGATAGAATGGAACCTGAGTATTGCAGCCAACAGTCTTCTGAAGATTTCACTTCCATCTACCTTCAAGACCCATATGCTATATATTTTTTCTAATCAGATAATCAGGGGTGAAGGAATATTCATCTCTATTGTCCACTAATATATTTTTCTTAATTTTTGTGCTATTGAGTCTGTTCCAACTTACAGTGACCCTGCATAAAGTTTCTGAGAGTGATTAGTATATCTGAACTGCCAACCAGTGCTTATCTTACAGTGCCACACTAGGGTTCACTCTTCTTAATAGAGAACAAGATATTTTAAGAATATGAAAAGCTGCTAGGACATCATCTCTCAGGGACAGACCAAGTAAAGTATTTCTCAGAGGTGGTTCTTTATAAAGCTAAAAAATAAGGACAGCCAACTTTCAGGAGATACCAATACATATTCTGACAAACATATTTTCCCTTTCCTAAAGTTAATATGCTGTTAACTTCAACTGTGTTATATCTGATCCTTTTCTGTCAGCAAAAGACCTTTTTTTTTTTAAGTCTCCAAAATTAATATTTGTGTAAAATGAAAGTAGAATTTTGGTTGTTTGCTTTTTGTAATTCAGAACATAGCTGAAATAAAAATGTCTGCATTTGTCCCTAAATTCACATCTTTGAAAGGTCCTTTTCTCCAGTCACATGAATTCATCTGAATCATTGCCATCCTGTAAGAAACAAGAAAAGTAAAATCATGAAAGCTATGAAACTAGGTAACTCAGTTTTAAAAATTTATAATTAGTCTTAAAAACATCTCCTTCTTACTCCTAACTTTATAATTCAGAGTGTAAAAACAAAACTCACATAGTTCTCCATTTTAAATTGTTAGCTGAAGATCGCTGCATTATCCGTTATATTCTCTAAGGCGTAAGATTACATAACTTGATTACACAGGAATAAGTGATAGATAATTTCCAAATAATACAGTAAGGTCCAACTGGCCTAATGTAGAATTGTTAACAGTATGACTATAAGAAAATGTATTGGATCCTTTAACAAATATGCCGTAATCTACAATCAAATAATGTACCAGTACCCCACTGCCAACAATACTGCCACTCTGCAATATATGTTTGGTATTCTTCTGATGGTACTACCTTACAAGCTTGAATTCCATTATTTTGTGCCTCAAAGCTGTCACAGAACTGACACCTTGAAGATGGTTTTTTCGTTCTGTTTATAAGAATAATAAGTAATTCAGGAGCTAAATATGGGCTAGTTACCAAGTCAGTTAGCACTAAACAGTATATAGAGTAAAGGGACTCATAACATGTGGCTTATAAGCTGAAGACCAAGTTTAAAAGCAGAGGTTCAGATTCTTTTCTGACCTAGTGCACACCCTATGCAAACTACTCTCCATGTCAACATTCACTTGGTAGTGTGAGTTCTGGTACATTTGTTATTAAAATATCACAACTTGACCGTGTCATTTGTTTCACCGTCTGCACTTTCTCATTGTTGAATACTAGAAATTAGAGAAAGAGAGATTACAAAAGCTTACAGATATATGTGGGTTTTTTTTTTCTTTCTTATCAGCTATTATTAAAAATGGACAGAGAAATATGAGAAGATAAGGTTTCTGTGAGGTCTGGTTTTATCTCATTTCACCCGTGGTGTTCTCTATGCTTCCCTTCAACTTGCACAACTCACTAAGGCTGCAGTAAAAATGCTTTGGATAATTATACAAAGAGCAGACTAATATTTACATCATACCCAGCCATGTGGACTTGACTGCCCAAGGGTCCTAAACTGAAATAACAGCATTGGCAATGTTTGGAAGAGTCAACTTCAATGTGAACTTTACAACTCCATCACTGAGGATGCAAACTCACTGTGGACAATGAAAGTTCATTATTTCTTAAAGGCTGTGAGGAAGACTGCAAAGACTTCCTATGTGGTTTGGGGCCTATGTTTACAGTAACTTTAAAAACATTATCTCTGACTTACATGACTTCAGTTGTACAATTTTTATATTTTAGAATCTTTTTAAGAGTATGCTTTTCAGTATAGCATAGAGGTTTATTGTCATCCATTTACATGTAGAGAATTATAAGCAGATAAACAATGTTAAAATTGTTTATGGTTCCTGATACCAAATTTAGAAGGATTATAAAGTATAGATTGAAAAGAATTACTCTAAATAGGCCAAAAACTCAAAATTAAGACTGGTTTCAGAGTGAAAGATTAGTATTGTTGCTGATAAGCATGTGTAAGCTTCATTAAAATTATACTGCTAAATAAGATCATAAAAACGTTTGTATCTCCCTAACAGTAGAAGATGGCTACAAGAGAGGACAGAAGGCTCTTTTCTGAAGGACAACAGAAAAGCTGTGACCACCATTCCACTGAAAGAGAATAAAAACATCTAGTACAAAAACTCCTGCCAAACTGAAACCTGACTCAAATTTGGAACACAGGAACAAGAGTCACAGGCAATATAAGGAGACGAAGGAATTTGTTCACAAAGTCCACTGTCTAATCTCCGAGCTTTTTAACACCTGCCAACAATCAGAAAAGGTGTGTTGTGTGTATTAGAATCCAAACTTTCACACTCCATAATGAAAATGCCTATGTTCATAATGACATGGGTGCTAGATTTTGGGTAGAAATGACTGCAAAGGAACAGAAAGCTTTAATAAGCAACAATGTCAACAATAAAAACATTAAATTTGGGGTATGTTAAACACTTTTGTATAACTGTCCAACTATACTAATAGTTTCAAGGAAGTTATGAACAGTGTCTCCAAAAAAGATTAAATACATGTTATCTTTTGATCCAGATACTTTATGGGATTAACAGTGTCTACAGACATATAGAAAGGGAAAAATAAAGATTACTTATATTCATACAAAGGAGCCCTGGTGGCACAGCAGATAATGCTTGAATGCAAACCATAAGGTTGGTTATGGTAATGATTTGAGAACCATAGTATTGTAGGGCTGTATTCTACTAGATAGTGCCCCTTTTTCTCTCCAAGGGAAAGAGAAAGATGTGAGAGTCTGCTTCTGTAAAGGTTACAGCCCTGGAAACCTTATGGGGCAGTTCTAATCTGTCCTACAGAGTTGCTACAAGTCAGAAGGGACTCTGTGGCAACAGGTTTAGGATATATATATACACATACACACACATATATCCAACAGCCTATCATACAGTGACAGATTTGAGGAAAAACGTTTACATATATGCCTTTGCTTAGAGCTTAGAACAGTCTTGTGAAGTAGTGTGTCACCATTGTGCTGAGGAAGAATCTTCCCTCAACAGAGATTAAATAACTTTACTAGGTTTACTCAATAAATACTTACATTTGAGCTGAGTCTATAAACTTCAAATTCAAGGCAATTTAATTGCATGCTACTCTGCAATTTTTCAGGAATAAATTAGAAAGATACTTCTCTGAGTTGTGAAAGAACCTTCTAAATCTAGTTCTTCATAGAGATGAGAATAAGGATGCTCCTTCATTTTTAGAAGGCTATATAAGCAAGACCTAAAATCCTATTAACAATTTCAATTCACTAAATATGGGGTTTGTTGTTGATGTTAAGGGCCACTGAGTTAGTTCTGACTTGCAGCAAGCCTGTAGAGGGTTTCCATGGAGTGGCTGGTGGGTTTGAATGGCTGACCTTGTGATTGGCAGCTAAGTACTTATCCTACAGCACACCAGTTTAGAATCCAAACTGACTCTGGATGACCTTTAAGGAACCTTAAATCATATAAGGCTAGCATGATTGAGAACCTGAATTTTTTATTTAAATTTAATCTAAATGCCCCATCAGTACATGCAATAGTCCAAATATATCCATTCAATTTTCATTTTCTGCAAATAACATTCAATAAAAGTTAAATTGCACTAGCTCCAGACACTTCAAAAATAAGTTTTAGGAAAGAGTCGTCTTGGGTTCTAAGTCTCAGAAATAATCCCAATAAAATAACAGGGTGTTGATGTTGAGAGGATCATTCGATACTAAGTCAGCGATCACCACGTCTCTTTATCATAGATCCTTGGGTACACACAAATAAAGAACTAATTTTGATACTTTGGCTACAGTATAAATTATCAGGATTTATACTTGATTTTAATTGTAGGTGATATTCTGTTCATGCCTCTATTACAACAGATTCTGCTGTCAGGTGAATATAGAACAATCGAAATAGAAGGTACTTTGTCATGCCTTCAATGTGAAAAGGGGTGGCGGGAAGAAGTAATGGACCACCAACAGAACAATGCTTCATAGTAGACAATGTAAGGAAACCTCTTTCCTTGCCACCAACAGAACAATGCTTCATAGTAGACAATGTAAGGAGACCTCTTTCCTTGCCACCAACAGAACAATGCTTCATAGTAGACAATGTAAGGAGACCTCTTTCCTTGAGGTAATCTGCTTAAACACAGACACATGAGAAAGTCTCACAGGGAATGAGGGGCACTATCTAGTAGAATATGGAGTCCTGGTGTGGCACTGTGGGCTAATGCGTCAGACTGCAAAATCATTTGAACTACAGGGTCGGTGGTTCAAGCTCACCAGCTGCTCCTTGGAAACCCTATACAGGGTTGCTATGGGTTGGACTGACTCGATGATACTTAACAACAACAACATCTAGTAGAATACAGCCCTATAATACTATGGTTCTCAAATCATGTCAAGTTATTTGCAACATGCAGGGCAATAAAGATTAGTGTCTCAATTACTACAAGCCTTTAGGGAATTATTTTAAGGTACACTATTACAGCTGTCAAGAGATCAAATGACGTATTGCATTAAGCAAATGTGCTGCACAGGAACTTTTTGGAGTGTTGAAGAGCAAAGATGTCAGCTTGAGGACTAAGGTGCACCTGACCCAAGCCATGGTATTTTCAATAACCTCATATGCATGCAAAAGCTGGACAGTGAATAAGGAAGACTGAGAAGAATTGAGGCCTTAGAGTTATGGTGTTGGAGGAGAATACTCAAAGTGCCATGTGCTGCCAAAAGAAACAATTGATTCATTTTGGAAGAAGTATGGCCAGAGTGCTCCTTAGAGGCCAAGACGGCCAAACTTCGTCTCTCATACTTTGGACATATTGCCAGGAGGGACCAGTCGCTGGATAAGGAGATCATGTTTGGTAGGGTGGAGGGTCAGAGAAAAAGAGGAAGACCCTCAATGAGATGTGGCAGCATTGATGGACTCAAGCGTGACAACAGTAGTGAGGTTGGCCCAGGATCGGGCAGTGTTTCATTCTGCTGTGCATAAGGTCGCTATGGGTCGGTACCGACTTGATGACACCTAACAACATGACAGCTGCTCCTCAGAATCCTTATACAAAGTTGCAATGGGTCAGAACCAACTCAACAGCACAACAAATGACAGCAAATAACTTGAATATACCTGATTTGAAGACATATTTTCAACTTTCATTAGTGATGAATAGCTCCTACAAGAAAAAGCACATTTAAGATTATATTATCTAGCCAATGCTTATTTAATGAACATTTATCATATTATCTAGCCCTGGTGTGGCACTGCAGGATAAGGACTGGACTGTTACTCACACCAGCTGTTCCTTGGAAACCCTACACAGGGTCATTATGAGTCAGAACTGACTTGATAGCACACAGCAACAACAACACTGTTTAGGATGTTTTTAAAAAATGCAAATGCTATTAGATATAATTCAACCTCAAGGAGATTGAACATTTTTTTAAGATCTATAAATAACAAATAGGATGTGCATAGCACTTTTAACTTGTAAAGTGCTTTCTGATAGTGTATTTCGCATCCCTTTGTGAAGCAGATGGTATTATTGCTACTTTTTGGATAAGGAAATTCTTCTAAAACCAAGATCAAATATAATTAACTGCTGACATGAGTAAATGCTACAGGAATTCAAAAAAAGGAAATCATCCATGCAGGCAGTGTTGTTAGGAACTGTTCCCCTAACAGAAGAGGCAGAGCTGAACCTAACAAATGGATAGGACTGTGATGAAGGCATTTCAGATCCAGAGAACAATATGAACAAAAGCACAGGGATGATATTTATAACAACATTTCAAAGATCGAACTAACTAAAGTAGAGACTAAAGTAAGGTAGTAGGCAATCAGACTGGATGCGTAGGGCTGGATATGTTGTCCTAAGTATGTGAGTGAATACAGTGCAGTAAGAAAGAAACCACAATGCATTCCTGAGTCAAAACATAATGAAAAACAGATTTATTACACATCTATGATGTGTAAGGCCCTGTGTTAAACTTGAGTGAAGGTTGGGATGAGGACAGACTTCCTTCCGAAGTCCTAGCCTTCAAAATGCTTACGAGGGGAAATAAGAGTTACTCAGCAATAGCTATAGTTTTATTGGTAGAGAATGGCAATGATACAAATAATTTCTTAAAATCATTTATGTTTGACTTTGCCAGGTTTTTATGGATAGCATGGGCCTGATTGTCTCTAATTATGCAACCTGACTTGTCAGACTAGACTTCAGCTAAGCAGATATGAAGTTTTCTAGCCTATTTGGGAAATAGTTTATTCCCTATCTTGTTACTAAAAGGATTTTAAAAAACTCATAAAGATGTATACAGTGAAATAAAAAAAAAAAAGAAAAAAGGAAAGAGAGACTGTGTATGTAATACCAGTGTTTTTTAAGAAAAGGACTTTGTGGCAAACAGAATAGGATGACAAGACAGAAAGCAAAAGGCACAAAGATCAGTTAACAAAATTTATCATTTATTGAATAGTCTTGACTTAAGACACTGTTCTAAATCTCTTATAATTACTATTATTTCCACAATAACCATAAAAGGTAGCAAGTATTATCCTCATCTTCCATATAAAGAAGCAGTCAGAGGTAAAGTTGTCCAATGTCTTACAGCTAACATTTGAAGAAGCCAGGTTCTGGTCTGACTCCTATGCTCACATTGTTTACATTGTGCCCCAGACCACAAGCATCAAGGTTTTTAAATTGGGTGGTTTGAAAAAAATTAATGACATAAAAGAGAAATATGGTGAAAAAGTTGCAAAGGTGATATCAGTGCTTGGTTTGTGACACACTGAATTTGAAGTAATGGTGAGACACCAAACTGATGTGAACTGTAAAATTTTAAATCAAATACTAGAGAGAGGACAACAGTCGTGGTTAGAGGGACAGGGCTAGGAGATATCTCTATTGAGTTGTGAATTGAATTCTGTAAGGTGAGGCTTTCTGCTCCCGTAAAGATTTACAGCCTTGGAAATCCCACCAGTAGGAACCAACTCCATGGCACACCACCATCACTACCAACACTCATCTTGACAATCATAAATTGCTTGTCTCCCTATAATACACAAGAAGAGTCAGCAACTGCTACCATACAGCCAACCTACAATCAC